TCGGTCTTCTGTTTTCTTCGAGCGTGTCGCACTCTAAACTACATACATACATACATACATACGTACAGCGTGGGCCGGAATTCGTGGTAAAACCGAGCAGAGGGTGATTCTACGCGGAAAGATAAGACAAAAATTTGATGTAACATTTTTTTGTATCCTTGATTCCGTTTTCGAGAAAATCTACTCCGCGGTTCGTTCATCTTCGCGAAGGATTTAATTGCTGTCTATTCTTTCGCCGCAGTCGTTTTTTCCCCAAACATTATCTACTGTGTGTGGTTAAAGCAGTACAATAAATATTACATCTTTACACGCGATATCGGACGGAGACGAACTTTAAAATCGACATTCTCGATATTCTCTTAACGAAGCCTCTGATAAAAAAAATGCTGTAGCAAATTTTTTTCTCATCTTTCCACGCAGAATCACCCTCCCGTTCGATTCTACCACGAATTCCGGGCCACCCTGTATATCCTGCTGTTATTCTGTATTATGTATTCTGTAACTTGTACCGTGTATCGTGCTGTGCGTCGTCGCCGACGCGTAGAGTAGCTGTTTTCCAAGGTTATGGCGAACTCAAATTCGAACAGACTATAAAAGACTGATAAAAATGGATGAACGAAAGAAAGAAAGAAAAAAATAGAAAACTCTCGAGGGTAAAATAGTTGCAAACGATAATCCAGCCGCGCACGTCCGGCGCAACTGTCACCGAACGGACGCGAGCAGACGCGAACAGACGCGAACTGGGCGGAATATAATCGGACAGTGTGCGTGAAACGTCCAAGCAAATACGATCGTAGAGCCGCGAACGTGCTCAGGATTTCCCCTACCACGGGATCTCTCTCCCTTCCTTGGTTTCTTTTCTTTTCCATTCTTTTCTTTCCTTTTCCTTTCCTTTCATTTCATTGCACGTTCATGGTCCCTCCTTGTTAACTACATGCACTTTCATCTATGTTACCTCCTTACCTTCGATTATCTCTCTCGTCCCCATGCTTAAGAATACAATAAATCTTCCCTAGTTTTCCTTCAGCTTGTAAACAGAAACGAACAATTTCGGGTGAGGAGATACGATTATTCGAGCCGTGCGGCTCATTTTCGTAACCGACCGATTGTCAACAATTATAAAAACGAGGGTGCAAAAGGCTCGTATAATCGTTTTTCAGATGATACTTATGTGTAACGGCAACCTCCGTTTCAACCGAGTGAGTTTGAGTGGAGAATTGATTGGTAAAAGAAGAAATCGTTTAAAAGACAGCGGCGTAAATAAAATAATATAGTAAATTTTCGCCAATTTTCTTTCAGTTTTTAAACAAAAATTGACGATTTGGAAAGGAGAGATACGATTATGTCTCGCGGCTCATTTTTATGATTGCCGATTGTCAACAATTATAAAAATGAGGTGCAAGGCGCGAGTAATCGTTTTTCAGATGATATTTATGTGTAACGGCAACCCCCGTTTCAGCCGAACGAGTTTTCTCAAAGGCCGGAGAATTGATTGGCAAAAGAAGAAATCGTTTAAAAGACACAGCAGCGTAAATAAAATAATATGGTAAATTCTCACCAATTTTCTTTCAGTTTGTAAACAAAAATGGACGATTTGGGAAGAAGAGATACGATTATTCGTGTCTCGCGGCTCATTTTTACAGTTGCCGATAGTCAAACAATTATAAAAACGAGGTGCAAGGCTCGAATAATCGTATCTCCTCTTCCCAAATCGTCCATTTTTGTGCGCAATCTGAGCGCGAATTAGGGAGAAATTACTGTACATATATACAATAAATTCTCCTTAATTTTCCTTCAACTTGTAAACAAAAGTGGACAATTTTAGAAGAGGAGATGCGATTGCTCCTGTCTCGTGGCTTATTTTTACAGTTGCCGATTGCCAAACAATTATAAAAACGAGGGTGCAAGGCTCGTATAATCGTATCTACTCTTCCCGAATTGTCCATTTCTCTGTTTACAAGCTGGAGAAGAATTAGGGAGAATTTACCGTACCTCTCTGAGCAGAAGTTCAATTAATTTGTCTTTCGTACAAGCGTGTAGCGGTAATCCCCCGTCGTAACCCTCGCCCAAGCCTTCCGATCAGAAATCCGACCAAAAGTCCGATGAAAAATCGGATGAAATAACCGATAAAAAAACCAGTGGAAGAAACACGATGAAAAAATGGATGAAAAATCCCACGAGAAATCCTATGAAAAAACTGATGGAAGATTCAACGAAAAAAAGAAAGAAACAGTTGAAAAAAATCGTTGAAAATTCCGATAGAAAGACCAATAACAAAAATTCGGCTCGACGTACAATCTCTTCTCAGTCGTTTAGGCGAAACGGGCGATATCGGGATCGCGCTTTCAACGACCCGTGGCCGGTGGNTTTGGGAAGAAGAGATACGATTATTCGTGTCTCGCGGCTCATTTTTACAGTTGCCGATAGTCAAACAATTATAAAAACGAGGTGCAAGGCTCGAATAATCGTATCTCCTCTTCCCAAATCGTCCATTTTTGTGCGCAATCTGAGCGCGAATTAGGGAGAAATTACTGTACATATATACAATAAATTCTCCTTAATTTTCCTTCAACTTGTAAACAAAAGTGGACAATTTTAGAAGAGGAGATGCGATTGCTCCTGTCTCGTGGCTTATTTTTACAGTTGCCGATTGCCAAACAATTATAAAAACGAGGGTGCAAGGCTCGTATAATCGTATCTACTCTTCCCGAATTGTCCATTTCTCTGTTTACAAGCTGGAGAAGAATTAGGGAGAATTTACCGTACCTCTCTGAGCAGAAGTTCAATTAATTTGTCTTTCGTACAAGCGTGTAGCGGTAATCCCCCGTCGTAACCCTCGCCCAAGCCTTCCGATCAGAAATCCGACCAAAAGTCCGATGAAAAATCGGATGAAATAACCGATAAAAAAACCAGTGGAAGAAACACGATGAAAAAATGGATGAAAAATCCCACGAGAAATCCTATGAAAAAACTGATGGAAGATTCAACGAAAAAAAGAAAGAAACAGTTGAAAAAAATCGTTGAAAATTCCGATAGAAAGACCAATAACAAAAATTCGGCTCGACGTACAATCTCTTCTCAGTCGTTTAGGCGAAACGGGCGATATCGGGATCGCGCTTTCAACGACCCGTGGCCGGTGGTCAGACAGTAGGCCATGTCGTAGACCCGCGCGTCGCGCTCCGATTCTTTTCGAAAAGAGTCGCGACGATTGAGCCGTTTATTTTGAAAGTGGCGTAAGAGTCGCTTTTTCAAAAAAATTCGACTTAACGGTAACACTAATTACAATCGAACGGTATCTTTTCATTAAAAAGAAAAAGAAGAAAAAAGTGACTTATGCCACTTTCAAAATAAACGGCTCGATTCTCGAAAAAAAGTCGCCACGCCGGCGGTGCGCGCGACTCGTTCGAATTAGAAATCAGGCTCGCTTTATGACATCACGTGATACCAAAAGCTTTCTCGGAACGCGATGGGTATATGTATACGACCTTTCCGGACTGTAAACCCTCGGATGATTCACGACGAAGTTCGCGTTAAAGAGCGGCGATTACGGTGTCGGCCGCCCCTCCGCCGCTCCCCTTCCCCTTTCGCTTTCTGTATATCGGCCGGCGGTTGTCGTTCCCGTCTCAAATATAAACGCGGTTCGATTAATTAATATACAACGTTGTTGACACAGCGCGGCGTCAACGGAAAAGCACGGCGCGAGCCGGGGCTCGAAGAAACGCGGGTTCGAGAGCGCCCTGCGCGCCGCTGCGGGCACGAAGGGGGACGACGACGTCGAGCCGACGAGAAAGAAAGTCGGACGAACGTTTGCCGAAGAGGAAAACCGGACGAGTACGAAAATAACTGGAAAGGCAAGATATCTCGTGGAGAGGTTACGCGACGGTCGCCGATGGACGGCGAACGTTTTGCGTCATCGAATCACATCGTTCGTCGCTAATCGCTCTTCGCCGAGATAAATACGGTTGCAAAAAAAAGTAGAAGAAGAAGAAGAAGAAGTAGAGGAAGAGGAAAGAAAAAAACTGAGAAAAAGAGACGAAAACTGGATCGTCCGCCGCGTCGTCCGAGCATGGGATATCGAAATTCGGAGGTCGTGGCCCGTGCGCGGTGCGCGCTCGCGCGCACCAGCAGCCTGTTGCGTCCACGGTGCCCGTTCACGAATATCGTTCGCAGAGATATACACGTCGGCGATACGCGTTCGCGATACTCGCCGCACGTAGATCGCCGCGGCTCCGCCGTTTTCCGCTGGCTGGTACGACGGATGCGAGCGAAAAATCGTCTCTATCGGTCAATACACTCTTATCGAGGCCTTAAGCGCGGTCGCCCGACAACGAATCGTTTCTAGCGCGAATCGATTCCTCGAAGTTTTTCGTAATTCGCGCGTTAAGGCCGATAAACGGCCGCCGATACGCGCGCGCGTACGCGTACGCGACGAACGGCTGCGAGAGAAGAACAGAAAAAAACCGAGGGAAACGGAAGATCGCGGCAGAGCCGGGAGGGAGGGAGGGGTTGGTGCGAGTGGGTCTCGAGACGGACCCTAGAACCACGCGTCCGATAGCGAAAGTCCAAAGGGGGTGCGCGACACGTATCCAGGACGAATCGGTAAACAGGAAAGGTGTTCGTTTTCACAAAACTGTTAGCATAGGGCCGAAGAGGCGTCGCACTGTTTTCCATGGTCGCGCGTCGGTTCGGTTTTATTTTCGGTTTTGTATCGCCTACGCATACAAGCTTAGGAACACGGAGAGCAAAGCCGACCGGAACCGATGCGGGAGGTTCGAGGGACGCCGGGGGAGGGGAACATCGCGGAACATCCCCGTACCGTATATTCCCTTCGACCGTCAGGGATCGGATCGCAACGACCGCGAAAACTCGTATACCGTCGACGATCGATACCGATGATATCGATGCTACCTGCGCGCGCGCGCGCGCTCGTGTCACATCCTCGGGTCCGACGATACCGGGAAGAAACTGTCGGAAGCGGATCCGAACGTGAACGCACTAACCTGGAAAGTGCTCCGCTGGGCGAGTGCGGTGTCGGCGGTCCTTGATCGTGTTCTTGATGGTGATGGGTCGTCGTGGCGGCTTGATGGGCGTAAATCGGCTCCATGTACAGCTGATCGGACACCCGATCGGATTCCTGAACTAAACCGTGATTGGCTTGCACGGAAGAGGGAGGCTGCATAACTGTCAAGTGAGGGTAGGATTGTCGGACTTGCTCGTTCGGACTGTATCCACCGTCCGCCGCGTGTCCTTGACGATTCGGCGACGAGAGTCCTTGATCGTCGTGCGGACTCCGACTGGAACTCGGCGAGCTACCGGTACGCAAAGTCGGCGAACCACCTCCTCCTCCTCCGCCTCCGCCGCCACCTCCTCCTTCTCCTACGGAACCACCACTACCACCACCACCACCACCACCACCACCACCTCCTCCTCCTCCTCCTCCTCCACAACCAGTGCCACCGCCGCCGCCGCCAACGTTACCATCGCCGCTATTACTACCACTGCCTCCGTTTCTACCTCCTCCTCCTCCTCCTCCTCCTCTTGCTCCTGTTCCACTACCACTTGTTTCTCCTCCTCCGCTCCCTCGTATCCGATGTTGAAGGTATCCATCGTCGGTTAAAACCTCTTCCAAATGATGGTGATGGTGTTGTGTTTCTTGCTGCTGCTGCTGATGATGGTGATGCTGCTGCTGCTGTTGTTGTTGAACGTGGTGATGATGGTGGTGATGATTCTGATGATCCGTCGCCACGATTTCGTTGCCACCGTTCGCGCCGCTCGTGGTATTTAAAGGCGAGAACACTCCGAGACTGTAATCGGACCGATCGCCCCTCATGTTCGTCCCGATCCCGCTAACCCTTTCGACGTCCTCGTGATCTATTTCGTAATGTTGTTGTTGTTGTTGCTGTTGTTGCGGTGGTTGTTGCGATTGTCGCTGAGAGGGTTGCGATTGCGATTGCGATTGCGGCTGCGACTCTTGCTCTTCCAAGTGACGATGACTCGACGAAGAGAGCACGGTATGTTGGCTCGTGTCCGTCTGCAAATGATGGTGCTGATGGTGGTGGCGGTGATGGTGGTGGTGGTGGTGGTGATTGTGGTGGGGGTGGTGGTGGTGGTCGGTCGCGGTTGGCGAGAGCGCTTCGGTACCGTAACGATTCATCGTCGAGCGAGGCGCGTGACTGTCGTACCGATTTCCCTGCGGCAGCGCAGAGCCTCCGTCGCTTTGCCGGTTATCCCCACCCTGCGGAACCTTTGCTTCTTTCGCCCCTGGCTCGGCGAATTGCAGCCTCGGCTACTCTTCTTCGTGGCGGTGGCGCTGCCCGATGGTGATGGCAATGGTGGTGGTGGCGGTGTTGCTGCTGCTGCTGCTGCTGCTGCTGCTGTTGGCGGTGGTGGTGGTTTTCTTGGCGGTGTGTTGTTCTTGCTGTTGCTACTCCTATTGTTGTTGCTATTGATATTGTTATTGCAATTGATATTGTTATTGCTATCGATATTGTTATTGCTATTGATATTGTTATTTCTAGTGCTGCTGCTGCTGCTGCTGCTGAAAGCTCTCCTGTTGGCCGCGGTGCAAAATAACGATATCAATTTTTGTTGCACTATCGTCGTCGTCCCGCAATTCGAATCAGGATCGATTCGTGCGACGATTCGATCAATGTTAAAACGCTGAAACGCGAGCGTCTCGAATATTGCTCGCGTGCTATAGCGCCGCGAAAGCGTAAGGTGTGGACGTTCTCGTTCGATTTATCGGCGAGCGAGCTATCGTCCAGGTGGTCTGGTGTTGCGGGAGGTCAAGAACGAACCGTTCGAGTTCCGCGACTAGGTCGTAAAGAACGTTGACGCGAAACGGGTCGTATCGTCGACCTGTTCCGAGCTTTCGGCAGGGTCGGACGTATACGTAGGTGCGCTCGCAGGGTAAATCGTAGGGAAAGGCCCGTTACGTATCGTCGTTGCGATCGACGGAAGCCGGCGGAACCGGCAGACGAGGCAGAAGAGGCGATAGGCTACCGCTTCTGCGCCGCTCGGCTCTACGATCGCGCCATTTTCAATATCCTGCCGCCCCGCCTCCGGCACGCCCACATTGTCCCCGCCTTCTTCGGTTCCATACTTTTCGTACGACAGCCGTCGTTGCTCAGTGGTTGTACCCGGTTCGAGCAGCCGTTCGAGCAACGGTTCGAGATGCTGTTCGAGCAGCAGCCGTTCGAAATGCCGCACGAGCGACCATTGGAGCAGCCGAACGGCGATTATCTCGAAATCCGTGTCGCGTCTCCCGATAACGTCGCGTTTCCTTCGTCCGCGCCGCTTCTTCGTCCTTGTTCCCCGCGACCACGGTCGAACCGCGATCGTGTTATTCGCCTTCCTTGCTGCGGTCCTCGACTGTCGCCCAGCTCTGTTCACGCGTATCTCGATGGAACCGTGAGAAACGTTCGGTACAAGCCGCGGCGCGTATTCGGAACGTACGATCCCGTGCGCCTGATCCTTTCTTCGCGCAGGATCGAACGAGCGGATCCGCTTCGAACGCTTTTAATCGCAGCGGCGACGACGACACGCGCGTCTGCAACAAACAGAGATGTCGCGGGAAAAAGGTTCGTTAAATTCGCTTCGATTGTTATTTTTGCGAGCAGCGTGCGCAGCGCGAACGACGCGAAGGAACTCTGTTGCCAGCCGATACGTTACAAAAATAACTGCTCCCCGTTATCTGTTGCCTACGCCGGCGGTCGCTCGCGTTCGTGGATTTTGCCTGCCGGCGATCAGCTTATTCCGCGCGCGTCCCGACGTTTCATCCCGTTTCGCCTCGACGCAACGGGGCCATGGCGTCCGCCGCCCGGATCTCGACTCGAGCGGCGGAACCTCCGGGCCAACAACATTTTTGGAGATCGAGAGAGAAAGAAGAAAAAAAAAAGTTCCCCGAGCCGGTCTTCCGTCGAACGATAAAAATTATTATTTTTAATCGTCACGGGTCAACCGATGGCAGCAACATCGACCATAGGTCACTCGACTAACCTACGTGTGGTATACAGGGTGGACCGCGGAAAGTGATCGGCTCGATTCATTCTGCTGCCAGTGGTTCGAGTGGAACCGTCGAAGGTTGTCCCAGCGAGGGACGCGATGTTTTTAATTATTGTATTACATTGTTGTACGATGGGCCGCGTCGCATCCGGCGAGAAAGCGCGACGACTGTCTATTGCATTCGTTGCCTTTTTTCTTTTTTTCGAGGCTCCTACGGCCAAAAATTTTGTTCTTTGGTTAGTTGCCCGCGGACGAGCGAGGCGCGTGGTTGTGCCTACCGAACCGCCACCCGTAATATTAGTCAGCTTCATGTTTGTTTCCCTTTCTCTTTTTTTCAATAAAAATTATTGAAAAAATATATTAATTAACTCTGTGACAGGAAGAAATTAACTCTCTGTTCAAGGAGAGCTTTAAGACGATTGCGTCGAAAGGTCAACCCTTTTCTTCCCGGAGAATTTTCTCGGAGAACCTTCGGAATATTCGTAGGTTCGCCCATAATTTTCTTGCACCCATCTTTTAGGGGATGCTCGGACGAATTCGGCGAACGTCGTAACGCATAGTTTTCGTCGAATCTAAGAAACAAGAAAAATCGTAGCTACTGCGAGAAGAAAAATTTGATACAAATTTGGAACGATCGTCTTGAAGCTCCCCTCGAACCCTGTTAATTTTAGCTCGCAGAACTTCCAATCGAACCACGGAATAAATTTAAGCTGATCACGCTTCGTGGCCCACCCTGTATAGTAAAACGGATCTCGATTACGCCCGTCCTGCTCGGTTGATTTTTTCCTAATTTTCTCGTCGGCTGTTCTGTAATCCGAGATTCGCTGCCGTTTTCGAACGGCACCCGGCGATCTCGCCGTGCAGGCATAATGCTTTTGGAATACATGGTACGCGACACGTGCAATGTACAGTATGACGCGTGTACGAGAGCAAAATAGGCGAATTGCTTTCGAATCGAGCCGCGATTCCAGTCTCGAATTTTACTATACCGGCGACGCTCTTCTCGCGCGAATCGACGCGAATCTGCCCCCCAAAGGCCAATCGCATTGCAACGACCGTTTAACATTCACGCGACCTTGTTGACGTTACCTAATCGAATTGGAGAGGTCAGGCTCGCCGAATTATCGGAGACGGCTCTCGTTTCAGGGCGAATTCTATGAGAAAAACAAAAGATTCGTCGGGAAAAGTCGCGAGCGCGGAACCCGGCCGGGCCTCGGAACGACCAGCGACGAATCGCTGGACGACGATCGGCGTTCGGAGGAGAACGCGGTAGAAATTGGCAGCCGTTGCGACGCGAACACGCGGCTCTTTGGAGAAGAACGAGATGTACTCGAGCCGATCGTGCGTCGGTTTACCGAAGAGAACACTCCATTGTTGCACGCGGTTCGAACGCGTTTCGGTGACGAGACGCGCGGAGCGCCGAGGCGCGGAGACGCAACGCCGAGGTGCCGCGACCCCAATTAATCATTCGAACCAAGAATATACTCGATCGTAGCCGCAGCCGACCGCCGTCTTCGTTTCTCTCGTTTCGTTGCGAAACTGGACTTGGACGCGGCGTCAAAATTTCGACGAGATTCTCGTCGGACCGGGGGGACCCGCCGTCCACGAATCCATGGACAGACGAACGAAGAAATGCTGCGGACCGTCCCCCAACGATACGAAAATCGAACGAGCGGAGGAGGACCCGTCTTCTATTCGATTCTTCGTATCGTCGACCGAACGAAAGAGGGTTCCACGCTATAGAAACAGTAGCGGCAGATTCCGACTCGCTGGCCGAGCGGAAGACGTTTAGTACATCGAGGCCAAAGGTGGCCCTCTTATCTTCTTGGTCCCATAAAAACACTCTCTGTTATCCACAACGCGAGCGACCAGACGGCGCGTATCGATGCGGTTTACGACGAGATTTTCAGAGATTGAATAGCTTCTTTATCTCGACCTCTTTGATTTCCCCCCTCCGGGCCCGAGCTCCCCCGTGCCTTGTCCTTCGAAGCTCTCCGGGCCCTAAGCTCTGGAAAAGTTGACGAAGTCCGTTCAACTCCGCTTTGTCCTCGCGTAATTTTCGCATTTGCCCTTTTCTCTCGCTTGCTCGCGTTGTTTCCTCGTGCTTCTATTGGGTTGGCAACCAAGTAATCGCCGATTTCTCAGTTATAGACGTCTCTCGCTCCCATTTTTGTGATATCCGTAAATGTTATATTATAAAATTATTATTATTAGTATGTTATTTTTTATTATCCGCGAACGTTAGCAACTGGACAAATTGAATGCAGCGGTCAAGGAAAAGCGAGCAGAATTGGTCGATCGTAAAGGTGTCATTTTCCAGCAGGACAATGCTAGGCCGCGCACGTCTTTGTCCACTCGGTAAAAATTGATGGATATTGCTTGGGAATCGATGTTACACCCACCACATAGTCCTGATCTCGCGCCATCGGATCACCACTTATTTCGACCCCTGGACAACTCCCTTCGTGGTGAAACTTTTAACGACGATGACACTGTAAAATCTCGCTTAACTCAGTTTTTGGTCGCAAAAGGATCAGACTTTCTACGAGCGTGGAATTTTCAAGTTGTCGGAGAGACGGCGAAAGGTCGTCGAACAAAATGGAAAATACATTACAGATTGAACTTCGTTCCAAGTAAAAAGAAATTTTTTATTTCATCGAACAAATCGGCGATTACTTAGTTGCCAACCCAATACTTGCACTTGTGCTTCTCGTGTTAGTGTATCCGGAATCTGCGGCGTTTCGCTGCAGAGCGAGCGACATCAACGATTCGCGAATCGCGCGGGTCGCGGATATTCCCGTCGACCGTTTGAATTTCCGATCTCTATTATTTCGAAGCGCCTTCTTGCACGCTTGAAAAATACATTGGGAAACGCGCGCTTGCGTCGTTACCGAACGATCGGTAATACGTTACGGTCGAATGACGTAAAGTCATAGAGTATAAAATATAGGGTTATAGAGGAACGGTTTCTTCACAGCAACCAAGACATTGCTCGAGATCGAGGGCCGCGAGCCCCTAAATCATTCTTCGTCTCGAACTTAATGGCTTGTAAAAAGAGCTCGTCTCCCTTTCCTTCGTTCCTCGACTTCGAACCACCGCGCGCCGCACCGCCTCGTTTCTCCTAGTTCGACCTAGACCAAACCGATGGATTAACTCGTCTTATAGACTGCAGTTGATCGGACGTGATATGCAACGAGACGAGACGAGATGCTATCGTTGCCGGTTGCTCCACTCGTCGATCAAACGAAACTTCTGCTACGAATTAAGAATTACTAATTGTGAATTCGAAATTAGGAATTGCGAATTACGTGTTATGAATTACGAGTTACGACTTATACCAATTACGAATTATGAATTACGAGTTACGACTTATACCAATTACGAATTGTGAATTACGAATTACGAGTTACGAATTACGAATTATAAGTTACAAGTTACGAATCATGAATTACGAGTATACGAATTATGAATTCTGAGTTACGAATTACGAATTCCGAGTTACGAATTACGAATGACGAATTACGAATTACGAATTACGAATTACAAATTACGAATTCCAAGTTGCGAGTTACGAATTGCGAGTTGGTCCGCGAATACGAACATCGAAGTCGAAGACGTAAAAAAGAAAAGATGATGAAGGAGACGCGCGAGTCGGTTGAAAGCGAAGAGAGAAGGCATTTTAGGGGAACGAGGATGGCGAGGGTTGTGCGATTGCGTGGTTGCGTGGTTGGGTGGTTGCGTGGCTGCGTAAATAGCTATGAGGTTGTACGTTGTGCGGTCGGCGGCGATCGAGGGAGCGGGAAGGCAAGGGGTCGGTAACCCCTATTTATCTCTACTCTCTCTCTCTCTCTCTCTCTCTCTCTTCTCCATTATCTTGGACGTTGCTCCGAACGAATCTGAAAACTGTGAAATTCGTAGATGCCCCGTGATCCGTCGTATCCGTCGCGCGATCGCTTAACCCTTTCGCATCCGGCAGGCAAAATGTGATCATCCAGTATCTGGAACGCGCGCGCGTGGATACGCGTATACGTTTATATTAATGCATCTTTCGGCGCGAAACGGTTCAAATACCGAGAATACCTAAACGAATCGGCGGCGACTGTTCCTTGGGAGAACAGTCGTTTTCGCAGAGCCCAGCTGCGAGGAAACCTTCGGGCAAGAAACCTTCGCCGCGTTTCGGGCGGTTTCAACTGCGGTTACACGCGGCGATGCGACCCGTACGAGGACGAATTCCGACAAAAGAAGGAAGCAAGGTAAATATTAAAACGGCCTGCTCGCACTTTGGGGCGAGGCGGGGGGATAAGTGGCGGACACGAGGGGAGGGATGAGAGGGGACGAAGAAACACGGACCGCGGTTGGATCATTAGCGACAAAGCCCGAGATGGAAACAATACAGACCGTTCGAGTGGCAAGCCGCACGAGCGAAGGATGGGGTGTGTTCCGTTCGCGGGCCGACAGGTTGGCGGAGGGATACTACGCGCCACGAGCCATAAACCGCGCCGGAAACGAGTCTGTGCGACGCGGAAACGCGACGAGAATTCCTCGAATCCGTAACCGCAGCCTCTCCGATTCGAATCGAGCGTTCGATTTTCCACGGGATCTCGTTTTCCACGCGATCGCGCGAACGAGTCAAAATCTTATTCCTCTATTCCGGCAACCACGGGAACGCGTATCGGGTTTCCGTCTTCTTTTTTTTCTTTTTTTCGAGCGGTCGAATAACGTTCATCCCCGGGCCCCGTATTCGTTTGGCCCCATTAACTGCCCGAACGGCCTGGAGCTTGGAGTTCTCGAAAAAAAGAAAAATGGCCCATGAATCTCGGGCACTGTCAATTATCGTGGCGACCCTTTGCCGAACTACGTCGACGCGCAACCACCACTCGCAACCTGTCGCGCTTGTTACCCTTCATCTTTAGCTTCTCGGAGACGGAGAACCAACCGTGTTCACGTTAAAACTCTTCTTTTTTCTTTTTTTTTCTTTTCGTGAAAACAAATGATACGCAACACGAATATATCAAGGTCGAGTCGTCATAAATAACTTCCGTCATTTTATCGGACGTTTAGTCTGTTCTTTTCTTATTTCTCCTCTGCTTCGTTTATTTCATTTATTTCGAGAACCCTTATCCGTTTAGGGAAAGCAAAAACTCGTTTGTGGTCCGGTGGCTCGTGGCGGGTAGATACGAACAATGGGATTCCACCTAGCTGCATCGGAGAAGTTATGCACGACTCGACCTAATACAGCAGCAATTCGCCCTAATCGGAGCTCAGCTTGGAAACGAAAATGAACGATTTGGGAAGAGGTGGTAGGATTATT